TTTTAAAGGTCATGTAGTCCAACCACCCTGCAATGAGCAGGGACATCTTCAATTAGATCAGGTTGCTGAGAGCCCCATCCAACCTGACCTTGAGTGTTTCCTGGGATGGGGCATCTACCACCTGCCTGGGCAACCTATTACACTGTTTTGCCACCCTCACCATAAAAACTTTCTGCCCTATATCTAGGTTAAATCTACCCTCTTTTAGTTTAAAATCATTATCCCTTGTCCTATTGTGACAGATCCTACTAAAAACCTTGTTCCTATCTTTCTTAGAAGCCTCCTCTAAGTATTGAAAGGCCCCAATAAGGTCTCTCTAGAGGCTTCTCTTCTCCAAGCTGAACCACCCTAACTCTCTCAGCCTTTCTACATAGGAGATGTGTTACATCTCTCTGATGGATGGGGCATCTACCACCTGCCTGGGCAACCTATTACACTGTTTTGCCACCCTCACCATAAAAACTTTCTGCCCTATATCTAGTTTAAATCTACCCTCTTTTAGTTTAAAATCATTATCCCTTGTCCTATTGTGACAGATCCTACTAAAAACCTTGTTCCTATCTTTCTTAGAAGCCTCCTCTAAGTATTGAAAGGCCCCAATAAGGTCTCTCTAGAGGCTTCTCTTCTCCAAGCTGAACCACCCTAACTCTCTCAGCCTTTCTACATAGGAGATGTGTTACATCTCTCTGATCGTTTTTGTGGCCCTCTTCTGGACCTGCTCCAGCAGGTCCATATCTTTCCTGTGCTGAGGGCCCCAGAGCTGGACACAGTACTCTGGTGCTCCACTGTACTCCTGTGTTGTACTCCACTCCCACAAGAGTGGAATAGAAGGGCAGAATCACCTCCCTCAACCAGCTGACTGTGCTTCTTTTGATGCAGCCCAAGATACAGTTGGGTTTCTGGGCTGACTGAGGGCCCCAGAGCTGGACACAGTACTCTGGTGCTCCACTGTACTCCTGTGTTGTACTCCACTCCCACAAGAGTGGAATAGAAGGGCAGAATCACCTCCCTCAACCAGCTGACTGTGCTTCTTTTGATGCAGCCCAAGATACAGTTGGGTTTCTGGGCTGAGAGTGCACATTGTCAGCTCATGTCCAGCTTTTCGTCCACCAACACCTCCAAGTCCTTTCAGTAGAGCTGCTCTCAATCCCTTTATCTTTACTGAAACCAGGCATCCCTTGACCCATGTGCAGGACCTTGGACTTGGCCTTGTTGAACCTTAAGGTTCACATGGGCCCATTTCTCAAGTTTGTCCAGGTCCCTCTGGATGGCATCCCACCCCTCAGGCTTGCTGACTGCACCACTCAACTTGGTGTCATATGAAAACTTGCTGAGGGTGCACTCAATTCCATTGTCTGTCATTGATGAGGTTGTTAAATAGTACTGGTCCCAGTATGGACCCCTGCAGGACACCACTTGTCACCAATCTCCATCTAGACATTGAGCCATTGACCACTACCCTCTGGATGTGACCATCCAAACAGTTCCTCATCCACTGCACAGTCCATCCATCAATTCTGTATTTCTCCAATTTAGAGAGAAGGATGTTGTGGGGGGCAGTGTCAAAGGCCTTACAAAAGGCCAGATAGGTGACATCCATAGCTCTTCCCTTGTCCACTGATGTAGTCATTCCATCATAGAAGGACACTAGGATGGTCAGGCAGGACTTGCCCTTGCTGGCTGTCCCAAATGTAATTGAAATTACAAGTAATCTAGCACTGTTGACTAAAACTGTTATTCTTTCTGTTTACTTTGATATGGTGTGGCACCTACATACATAGTAGAGAACAGTAGGTAATAAGGCAAATGTTGTTGTAATACTTCAAGAATGTCAGACAGGATTACCAGGAACCCTCTGTTCTCTTCTGGTGTAAAAATATGCAGAAGGGAACAAATTAATTCAATGATTCTGTCACTGTCGAGGATCAGCTGTTAAGCCGCATCCTTGCATCCTCTTTGTTTCATGCGACCAGCAGGGATGCAGGTACTGGCTGTCAGCCAGTCTGTCTGCTATGACCTCCCTGTGGGAACTGCATAGCACGTTCATGAAACGAGAATTATCAAATTTTAAAAATGATGGGTTATAGGGTATTTTTTCAAGTACCCTTTCTCACAGTATTTCAGGTTTCCAGTTCCATTTAAAATCAGTTCATTTTAAAATCCGAGAACTTTTTCCAATAACTTATTTTTTTTGAAAAGTACTTCAATTCAGTTTGGTTTACTTAGAGTATATTGAACAGAATGTTATTGCAACAGGACAATTCAAAAATAACTACCAAAGAGCAGACTTAGTTCAAATTTTAAAGCAGAAGCCAGTGCAATATATTTAAGGCAGACTGTATAGAGGCTGACCTTTCATGTCGCTGAGCACCACTGACCTAAGTAATCTTGAAATCCACAAAATAATTCATGTGAATATGTGCAGCTGACGTTTTCTGGCATCATCATTGTGCATTGCAGTCAGTGGGCTGTTGATTGTATAAAATGTTCTGCTCTGGGTACAGGACTATAAAAGCTTTCAGGAACGTAATCTGACTAGCAAGATTAGAGCTTTCCTGGAAATAATTTTGCTAACTGGAAGAATTAACCTAGTTTAATCCTCGGCGTGTTGAATTGCTGAACTACCCAGAACATTATTGTCATGAGCATCGCGCACTCTCATGCATCTCCTTGTTTCTTTTCTCTTTGGTGTCTGTAAAGTCAGAGTCTCCTTTTTTCTTTCCTGTTTGTCTTGTGCCTCTCACTTCAGATCTAAACTGGATTGCCAGTATGTCAAGTGCCCTGCCTTTCTGCTGCTGCTTCTATTTCTTCTGGAGATTTGGCATAATTCACCATTGTTTTTGGCTTCCTCTGAAAACTGTTCTGCTTCATCCACTAAGTCAGAGGCCTTATACTATCATTCTGTTAATTTTTAAGTTTGTTGCAATAGTACAACCTTCTTCTTCTCCTCAGCTTTGTCCTTCTGCAACCCCTATTCGTACTTTTTTTTGTCCATGAGTTTATACAGCCCCTCTCTGTCAATGTCATCTCCTGCATGTACTTCATTTCTCTGATTACTCTTGGAGTCCTCTTGGCATCTGTTTTCCACTACTGTCCTCATCCTCCAGTAGATGCCTCACCCCAGATTCTAGCGAAGTGGACCCCAGGCACAGCAGGGCAGAGATTGGTGAGAATAAGTTTAAGCAAAGGTCCTGGCTGTAGAGTCTGGAGATACTGACCCTCAGTTAAACAGCACATGTAGTCCCAAATGCTGTATTGCAGGGAAGTCCATATTAAAGTTATTGGGAGCTCTTCCCAGGAGAGGAATTGGATCTTTACAACTAAAATCAAGATGGTAGTACAATAGCTTCTTTTATGTAAAAGCCGATACAAAGATTACGTTGCAACACTATGAACATTTTTACAAAACAGTATATGCATTGTGGATCATTATAAAACAATTTATTAAATTCTGTCTTTAAATGATGTCTTTCCTTTAACAGAGACTTAAAGTCATATTCTGCTGGGCGTACTTATGTTCAAGTAAGACACTGCATTGTATGAGCAAGAGTATGTCAGTATTTGTAACTGGTTTTGATAAAGTATGTCTATGAAAAAATAATTACAATCCAATCATAATTATTTTTAAAATTTAAGACTGGTAATATCCTGTATTTTGTAGTTACAGGGTATAAAGCTTTCTCTGCCTCTGTAAATTATGTAAAAAATGTTCATTTGGCAGATTCGAGTATCTTTAAATAGAATTAAAAAAAAAATCTTTGAAAGCATCAGATTTGAATATCATTGCAGAATTTTACAATTAAATTAAAAACTAATAGCCAGACCTCTATTGAAGTTCACCTGTGTGGAAAAATGTTGAAAAATCATGAGGTACATCAGCTAAAACCAAAATAATTGGAGAGTATTTGTACATTTAATTGCTTAAGCTGTTTCATAAACATTAAGAGAGAGTCTTTCCAAAAAACCCACCACTACCAAACTGCTAAGTATCCACTTTTTAATGATTATACTTGATCAAAGGTTGGATGCTCAGATGCTCATTTGTAAAACTTCACATAAAAATAATGAGTGGAAACATCCACAAATTCCTGAGAGAAATTATTTAAAAAATCCTCTTTGTGCTTAATTTTTCTCTGTCTATATTAATCATTGTATTTATATATAAAATATTTGTTTATATTTAAATTAAATTTTATATTGTATTTTTGCATATTATATATTTTTATATATATTTACATCTCTGCTAAACTTTAAGAAAAAATTACCTCAAGAAATGAAGTGTAAAGCAACACTGGGAGGAAAAAAAGGTGATTTCATGCAAGATTGTATCACACAGAAGAATAATAGTAGCCCTAAAGATCTGGAGATCTTTGTATTCCATTCCTTTCTCTGCCCTGCTTGAATATAGTAATGCAATATATTCAGCTCTATTTAATTATTTAATTAATTTATGTTTCGTACAGCTGATGAAGTAGTAAACACTTTTTTTCTGATTTCACAAGTGACGAGAGAGTGGTTAAATTAAATAACCGCTCTAAAGCAAGACAACATCAGCACTGGTATCAAAATGATGCTTGTGGGACAGCATTATGAACAGTTTCTTAGATTACATGCTTTGAGATTTTTTGTTTAATTTGTATGTGTAAGTATTTGAATGTCTGACCTGGGCAATGTTAAAAGACTTTAGTTTCCAAAGCTCCTGTCAACTAGCTATTGTCAAGGTTTGTTGTGTTTTCCCAAATGTAGAGGCACTGAACTGGCAATCGCCTTGAAAAGGCTGAATTTTAGGTTTCAGTGCTTACTCCTACATCTCACTTTAGCAAGTTACTTATCTAAAGCCAGTGACTTTTAAAATATCAGGAGGGGGAAGGCACTGCCATTTCTGTAATCCGTTTTTCACTGTCCTGCAGAATTTTTGCGTAATCACTGTTTGAGTTTATGAAGCACGTGCAAATGTCTGCTGGTTCCTTATCTTTGTGTCTTTTACTGTGATGTTGTAGAGCTTGGATCATATGGAAACCTAAAATATTATGACACAATGACTGAAGAAGGTAAGAAATATTTTAGAATTGTTTGTATCAGCTTTTTTTGAAGCCCTTTATAAGCGCCTTTTATGTGTTTACTTTTTCCTTCATTTTTCTTAGTCCTATTTTCCGTTTCTCCATTTTTGAGTAACTCCTTTTTTGCATGTCTATATTGACGGCGTGATCAGTTATGGCTCTTTTTTAAGGTTTTTGTTTTCAGCATTTCAGTTTTGCTATTTCAAATATGAAAATACAATGGAATGATTTTATTAAAGAACATACATGCAGAACTACACTTATAAATTATATGGCACAGTATAACATAGACTGTACATCCTTATTTTATACCATGTTTTACAATGCATTCAAGAAGATGAATTAACTTATGGGTGTTCAAATCACTCCATTCGAGAACAATTAGTAAGTGACTTCAGTTTACTGTATTATTCAAAGCTAATGAATAAACTTTAGAAACTAGGCAGGACTATTCCTGGAGTGCTAAGTGTGTGCTTAATTGCAATGAGAAAATTATGCAATTTAAAATCCTGATTCTAGCAGTACAAGAAGGAAGTAATTAGAGCCCAAATCAGGGCTCAATGAAATCTCGGGAAATTTTTCTGCTGATTCAAAAGTGTTGCAGAAAGCAGTTAACTGTGTGCTAAATTTCCAGTGTGTGATTTCAGTCCTAGTGCGGTCAGCATTTCTATAATTTCGAAGTTTCTCTGAACTGAGACCTGATTGTCTGTAGGATCAAGGCCTCTTGTCCAGTGCTCTGATTATAATGCCAGACAGATGGTTTCATTGATGTTTGGTTTAGTAATTAGTGGCGTGTTTGAAAATGGAGATAAACTTGAGGCCTGTAGAACAATTATCAGCCTATTCCTACTTATTTTTGATACTGGGAATATAAGACAAATAGCTTAATTGTCTGTTTTCAAAACACAGTTGTTTTCTAATTTAGATCAACCTTGAGGTTATGAAGGTTTTAAGAAAACCTTCATTGTATGACTTACGGTCATTTCTCTGGGGCACAGGAGGTGGGGGGGGTGAGGGGGAAAAGCCATAACTTCTGACTATTTCCCATTTTCTGTATCTGCTGTTGATACTGAAATATAATGGTACTATTGTGGGGCTGGCTATACAGGAGGGTTCCTTCTGCCTTTGTACCTGATGATGGAAGATGCTGGTTTCTTCTGTAGCCAGCGTGAGCTCATGGGACAGGACAGTTTTGCCACACCACCCTCCAGACTCACTACCTGAAACACAGGGGTGGCACCGATATAAGAAAAGATGTCTGAAAAGAGATTTTGCCAGGCAAACAGTGCTGTCTGTGTTGTTTAAATGCACCTCCGAAGCACCTGAAATGAGTCGTTAACCCAGGCCATGCAGATACAGCTATCAGAGCGAAAACTGTTGCGGTGTGTCTCATCCCAGCCTTCAGGACAATCAAGATGCAAAGGTCATTTCTCATTGTAGCCTAGTGTTGGCTACATTAAGGTTTTTCTTTTGTATGCTGAAGTATTAAGGCCTACCACTTCAAAAATAGTCACTACGTTAGTAGCCTTCTGATAATCATATTCTATTGATAGTTAAATGTAGCTATTTGTGGAAATATACCCATGGAAGTGTGATATATACAATATATGTATATATTAATACTGTGCCTGTGCTGAAGTAATGCTGTTAATATTCAATGTCATCTCAGAAAACACTCCTCATGAATAAATAATCCAGGGCTATACTGTAGCAACAGCAAAAATCCAGTAGCAACAATAAGAAAGGAAGCTCCTTGTCTCCAGGAGTATTAACACTGACAGGAGTCTATGATACGGTTTACCTTCTCAATTACAGCTGTCATCATCATTTTCACATGTCTTTCACTAAACACATAATGAATAGTGTATCCCAAAAGTTGTATTTAGATCAAAGTGTGTTATATTTTGAACTTTCTGTTTGGATTTTCACTTGGCACCACACTTATTGCATTATCCATTTTCTTCTTTCTCTTCTTTTTTTGACTGAGCTTTTTATACATTTTGTACAGAAATTTTGTCACAGGAATACATAAACCCAGTTACAAATTCAGGGATTATTTTCTAATATAGTACATCCGTATCTCCAGGCCCTCAAACCCTGAGTGGAAAAGGCAGCAAATCTCCCAGTCCTGCAGTGGAGCAGGGGCACACATACTCTTGGTGCTGCATGACAGCAATCAGAGTCAAAAAGTAATGCTTAGGTCGCAACACACAATCAGATATAGGCTAATGGCCAGAGGGCCAATGTGGTACTGGTCTTAGAAACTGATCTCCATTGTTTTGTTTGCTCCTATTTGCTCTGAAAGTGAATTCAAATTAATTGCAGATTAATCAGGCCCAACTGGAAGAGAAAATACACCCTACCAGATGGGAAGAGAACCTCACAGTAATCTTGTGCTGTCAAGTAACCTCCACCAACAGCCTACAACATGACAAAACTGCATGTATTTTCATTTGATGCTTCTGTGGGATTTTAAAGTTAAAACAGAAAGCACGTGAGGTGGATTTCTGGAATTGGTCAGCTGTGACCCACTAGTTTTGTTCCACAACTGGCCACGAGCAGGACTCAGTATAGTTCAGGTACAGTTCAGATTGCTCAACAGCCGGAGAGTTGACATCTTCAGATTCATGAAAGTTTGGCTATTACTGCTTAGATGTAATAATTTGCATTAGATCAGAGACCAAAAACTAGAGAAATGGTGGAGTCTTGAATCTTCTAAACAAGTGAATTTCTGAAGATAAACTATTTTCCTATCATATCAAAGTCTTTTCTGACCCAAGGAATCTGTAGTCTGCAATTCAGATTGTAGTCAAAGGATGGTCTTTTTAATATATCCTACATCAGAAGGAAAATCTCTGCCAACTGATGCCAGCTGGAGATACTCAGGCAAATCAAGTCATATCTATATTATACAATACTGATTTGTTTGCATATGTTCAATTAAAACCAGTTCAGATTTAAGCTACTTTCTTTCTTAATCACCTGCCCTTGATCTCCTGTTTCTTCTACACCATCCTTTGTAAACTAAAATAAGCTGCAAAATCTGAGTTCAGTGAATCTAGATTAATTAAGAATTTTCTATAACAATCTATCCTATTGTGGGTCTGTGGAATCAAGTGTTTTCATTCACCTATGCTCTCATGGTGCCAGATGGTCTGAAAATTACTCTTGGGTAGTCAAACCCATAGTACACAGAGCTGTTAAAAGGAAACATAAGGTCCTACCTTCTCCTAGAAATAAGAATGGTAACATAAAATTCCTGTGGATTGTTTTAGTAACCCGACCTAAAGATGAGAAAAAGGGCATGAGAGAAGATCTGTGTCTAAGATGAAGCCTTTGGGGCTTTCTGTAAATTTGAATTACTTCGAAATATCCTTATCTGGTCCTTTTTCCTGGTGGCTCTGTGATTCCCCTTCTCTGAGCAAGTTTAGATTTGGTTTGAAGGAGGAAAAGGGAGGGAGGAGGCATAGCTCTGCTGTCTTTTTACATCTCACTGTCTTTGTGCAGGCTAGTACTACTGCTTTCCTCAGTTTCATGCTTTTGAGAGTTGCTATTATGTCTTTTAATCATTTCCTCACACTGTTTGTTGTCTACACTGACTGAATCAAATGGAAGGAAATGATGTAAAACAATGTCAGCTGAACCATGTATGTACTTAGAAATAAAAGTAACCGAAAATATACTTTCCATTTCAAATGCTGAGGTTAGTTTCCATGACAGTGACTTAAAACAGTGGAACAATCTCCTGAATGAAGCAATGTAACTTACAATGTTAAAAGTCAGTGTAAGAAATTCTTCCTAAAGATGGGAGGAGGCTTTTGGAAATGTGAAAAAAAATTGAAGACAACTTCATCTAAGCTAATCTAAGACAGCGTGAATCTCTGTGGAGACATCATCTTTTCAGTTCAATAATTGCTCAAGTTCCTCTGTTAAAAACCCTAAACAATTTTAAATAATCTCAAACAAAAGACTAGAGTGTCCTTGTAGAATTCTACTTCACTTTAATTAAACTTTTTAAATTGGACCTAAATTAGAAGGTCCTACACCATCCTGGAGTAGGGGGAGATATGGATGGTTCCACAGATATTTCTCAGAAAATGTCTCAGTTGCATCATTTGCATCACTTGCAAAAAAATGCATTTGTGTATTTGAGGCATCACAAGCCAAATTCTCAAACGTATGAAACCAAGATGGAGTCTGAAGCCCAAAGACATGCTTTAGCATGTATGAAAATTATGCAGGCTTTTTTCAGTATCTACACATACTTCTAGATAAGCACTTTCTAAATGCCCCTGGTGTTTCAAAAGAAGTTAGGAACAGACTTGATTCTTAGCATTTCAGCTTAAAATATTTGGAAATATGATTTGCACTTTCTCCTGTGTTTTTTTTCTTTCTCTTATATGATATCCCAAGCAATTCCCTTTCTCTCTGTCTCTCTTTCTTTCTTTTATTCTCTGTTTGTTCTTCGCCTTCTAACTCAAATCTCTGCCACTAACGATGTGCATTGAAATGATGAGATGGCTTACTGCTTATGGTTGTGTTCCACACTTAGGTACTCTTCTGCAGGCAGTTTTATTCTAGATTCTATGTACCAAAAAAGATAACCTTTGCAATATATTGTGAATGGCTAATTATTTTTTTGAAGCATGATGTTTTGTGAAAAGATAGAGGCTGCTGAAAGGACAGTACTGCTTATTAAATCTTTGTGGTATTTTTATTACTTTCCAAGTGATTTGTGTTGACAAATTAACTCCACTTCCCAGCAAAGGGTAGCTGCTAGCTGCTGAGGACTGTGCATATGCTTCTTCACATACATACAAAACTGTTGGTACAGGGGTTTGAAGCTTCCATTTCTGAGAAGGGAAAAGAAGATTTCTTTTTTGATTAATGATGTATTCTTGTGTGTCTTTTATTTTAGGTTGGAAACAGTGACTGCTATCCAACTACCTGAATTCATTCATTACTTCTTGCTGTTACTTGCCTCTGTTAATTAATTATGTGATTCCATTGAAATATCTTTTGATCTTAAGCCTGCACTGTTTTTGCTGCAGGGACACTGACAGTTTCCAATGGATTATTTTTTTTAAATGAAGATGAAGAATTAAAACAGTCACGGGACCTGTATAGTAATAGTGTTCTTCATTAGAAGTGTACTGTACTGTAGTCACCAGTTTTCTTTAAAAAGAGATAAAAAAATACTGAAGGAGCAATAGCAATGAGGATAACAATAAAGAAAGGCAGATATATAATCTTTCTACACAACATAGACTGTCATAAGCTGTCCAAAGAGAAAGATTAACCAGTGTAGAGGAAGGAGTTAATTAATTTCACTTAATATTTGCCATCTTTGGCATTGCTTAGTTTGAATGTGTCATTTGGACTCAGTGATCAATAAAAAGCGACAGAAGTGAATTGCCCTGGAGACTGTCCAGGCAATGAGCTGCAAGGTTAACTTCATAGGAGACAAAAAACACCCGGCAGGTTGACAAGAAAAATTTACCTTCAAGAAACTGGTATGGAAATCATGTATTTGGGAGATTTCTTTTTTCTCTTCTGAAGTATCTGTAGAAGACACAGGCACATAGTTGAGTGTAAGGTGACATGGTTGATCACAGTCACCATGATGCAATTTTTGAGTTCATCTGAAATTCTGTGTTACTTTACTACTAACTGAAGTCTGAAACTGTTTGTGTTTGTTTATAATATCTTTATTCATCTGTATTCATCTTCTGTTTAGGCTGAAATCCTACACCAGAACTTGTGTATGTGGAACTTTGCTGGCTGCTTCTGATTTGGTTTTTATTTCTTGTTCAATTTGTTGCTGGGTTCTCAGAATAGAAAAAACCCCACACTTTTATTTCCACTAAAAAGAAAAAAAAAAGTATATATGAGGACATCAGATAGTGTTTAGTAACACGTTTGCTGTTTGAGGAGGGATGGAAATGGATTATCAGCACTGATTTATGGAGCCACAGCTATGGCAAAGAAACTTTGCATCTCTAAATGGCTATATATTTATAATGACAATACTTTTTTTTAGGAAGGTTCAAGGAAAGGGCCTCAATTCTGCATAAGATCGCCAAAAAGAAGTGCCAGGTGGAAGACAGTGAAAGGCAGAATGGAGCTGCTAATCATGGTGAGTGCAGCAGTACAGATTTATTACCTTCTACTGAGGGCCGTTTTCACTGTTTTATTTTGCTTGAAAATCCTTAGGGATTAGTTTCTCCTTCTACTTCATTTATGGTTTCTTAGTAAAAACATGCTGATTGCTTATACAAAAGAGTATGAAACTTACAAACAGGACAGGAGTTAAGTGCAAGAAGAGTAAGTCAGTTAAGGCAGTTAGAAAGCCTCCCAACAGGGTTGAAAAGAAAAAAACAATGCTGACTTTGGATATGTGTTGAAGTGACAGAAATAGAGAGACAAAAATTTCTCACTTTTTCTATGTGAAAATTAAATTAATTTATTGAGCTGCTCTAGGAGAATGTTTGATGTGGTATCACCCTTGTCACAAAAAGGAACAACCTTCGTATTGAAGATTTGACTTGTCTGTCTACTACTTGCTGAGCATCATTTAGGCCCATCTATGCTAATTCTGCAAAATTAGCTTACTGTGGCTTTCCATTAAGGGTGAGAATTTGTATTTTAGTTGAGAAGCTCCTATACTAAAAGAAAATCTGTACTATGTCCTGTTTTCTCTACTTTACCTCAGCATGCTCTCTGCTTTAGAAAACCAGATGCAAATGTGTCTGATAAAAGCTGAATCATTTTGTCAGTTGACATTTTTACTGACCTTGTGCTATGTTTAGCTACTATTTGCTTCCAGAATCAAGCAGTTGGATGGGACGCTGTTAATAAACCATAATGCTGGCTGTGGGGTTAAGAGACAACACACATGCACTGAAATAATTACAGATAGTCTGGCACTCCGCTGTGGCTGTGATCTCAGATTTTTAATTTAGAAGAATCTCAGGATAGCAGTAATGTAACTAGACAGCTGTATTTACTTCTGTGCACAGGAGCATACCATAAGGCATGTTGAACTCGAGTTAGACATTTCATATTGCTATTCCCCATAACTTTATATTGTCCAAGGGATTTTTGGCCATTGACATTTTTATCTAGTACATACTTAAAGAGATAATTACTGCTCAGAGAATTACAAGATAGTCAAAGTAAGAATACATTTGAATAAATTTGACATCAGAAACCAAAGACCCAATTTTATGCCTTTAATTCCTGTAAAAGTTTAGCACAAGGACTACGGGATTCTGTTTTAAAGATCATTCTCTGTTATTGGATGTTATTAGACCATCCATTTGTACTTTTCCCAGATTTTTGCATAAGAAAGAGCATGATTACATCTTGGAAGTAACTTTACTTCTTGCAGGGGTTAGTGTGTTTTAAATATGTTGTTGAATATACCCCCTCACCTGTAAATGCAGCATGTTGCATTCTTTAATGTCTGGGGAGAGTGCTGTATGTCACTTTTTACCTGAAGTATTAAGCTCGGTGACTTTAGCATCAACAAAGAGCACTGAATATTGCAAAGGTAAATTTTTCTAGGATATGAGTACCAATAGAATGGTTTCTTCAAATATAAGCTCACCACTCATAAGAATTTTATTCAAAATGTGCATGAGTCAAATGGAAGATAAAATTTTTGTCTCTCTTTTTTTTAAGGTAGATGTTGGTCCACCTTCAGTATTTTATGATGTACACAGACTGAATATATGGCAGCAGTTTCAGTTATAGATTTGTTACTTAACATATAATATTCTGTTCTGTTGTTTTCCCACTCTTATTTATGGATGCCACAGAAAAAGGTGCAAAAGTTGAAGTTGCAGTAACACCACCGAGTGATTCAGGACCAGTGCAGAATGGAATCGCCCATAACGTTGAAGAAGAGGTTAATGTCTTTTTTATTATTTTTTACTTTTTATTTTTATATTGGTAAATACATTGCATGCTTAATTGTGCTTTTCACTGAAAGTATACATCTTAATAGCAAAAAGTTGTTAAAATAAACTGTCTAAAATACGTTTAATCCTCATCTACAACTGAACCCAAGGCATGGTTTGCCATATATAAAAGCTTTTCTGTGCCCCTGCCCTTCATTGTAAGGTAAAATGGTAATCTGAAATGTATTCTTTTAGGGAATGTATTTTTATTTATCAGATAAGATGTTCCCAGCCCTAAATATAGCTAATGGAAATTGCTTGTCTGGTTATCATCACATTGCACAAAACTGTTCTCTTCAGAGGGTAGCCTGTCATGTTGTGCTTCATGGAATAGTTAAAAGTAGCTAAAAAAGAAGAGCTGTACACAAACTTCTTCTCCATCCTACTTTCTGTTATCATGAGACAAATAACAAATTAAGCTGAATAGTGTACTAGTGTTTCTACGACTGTTATTGCATATGGTTAAAATATGAAAAGAAGTAATTAAGCACTTAATATTTTTTTAACATATATCTTTTGTAGATAATAAGTTATTGCCTAACTGTGTCTAACTCGCATAATGACTACTGAAGTAGCTATGAGTTGAGCTAGCTTCTTTTTTAAATTAGTTGTAATTTTCAAGAGTAGCTGACTTAAAAATTGGGCCCTGCCAAGCCATTTTAATTTCCTTTATTATTTTTTTTCGAATTTTATTAATACCACCTGCATCCCAAGTAGACAAACGTGGGAAAATGATGATGAATTGATTTTGCTAAACTTGGGCACTGGGATTTTAGACTGAGAGAGTGAAACCTGCATATAGAGAAAAAGTCTTGTTAAAAATAATCCTTGACACAAAAGTTCCAGTAATGGTTTTATTTGTATGTTCTAATCTTAGCGTTCTCCTTTGGCTGTAGTGACAGACGAAAGATACTGCAAGAGATGGCTGAGCAGTGGTCTATACTATAACATGAGCTTCCCCTTATTAAAAGTGGGATGAGCTGTGTGGCATTTGCATACAGCAAAATCATGTAAAAAAAAGCGAAGGACATGTTTTGTTTTGAATGGTTCCAGTTTTAGGGTTTGATATTTTAGTCGCTTTCACTTATTTATCATTTAACAAAATTGTTAGTCCAAGTTAGAGATCATCTTGCCTTCTTCACGACCTGGGAAATATCACTATAGGTGAAATTCTTTCCTTGAAAGGTTCTGCAAGCCACAGGATAAATTCTAAGCTGTGTACAAGTAACAGAGTGGTTTTATGTCTGTTGGCTGCTTCCTAAACACAATTATCACTCACAAGGAGCATAATTTATATGGGAATATACTTATAACAGGGAGAGGGTATCCTATTTTTTCGGCAAGGCTGGGAAAAAACACTGCAATGTGTAGTAGGCTGAGTCTTTGGGGAAAGATTCTGTTTGCTTTAAATAGCTGGAGGTGGAGAGATGACAAGGTGATGCTGGCAAGCTGGTGTGCTAATGCACCAAATATTGGCAGATAGCGTTAATTCTTCACTTTTTCTAGATAATTTTGGTCTCTTTGAGTAGAAACTGAGAATCAGAATCAAGGATGTAAAAGAGATGGGCAGTTTTTCATATCCTGAATGGTCAGTAATGATAATGGAAAGGACAGTGTAGTGAAACATTAAATTAACTTGTCTGTTAATCTCAGTTGTTCAGACTAACATTTCACTTAAACATCCTTGTCAGCCAAACAAAGCTTTACTCTTAGGTAAATGAGATGAGTAAAATCAATGTAATAAAAAAATCTCAGCACCAGACTTCAACACGCAACATTTTAAGGTAAGGAGAGATCAATTTTCAGATCTGTTTCTCAGAGTCCGACCTCACTGCTACAGTGAAATATGTCTTTAGACTATTTTTTAAATTCAGCAAAAAAAAAAATAATAAAATCCAAAGAAGAACAGCTTTTAGACTTCTGTTCTCAAAGGTCAATAAGGGATGATGTAGCCTGGTGTAACCTGTTAGGGTGTACATAAATCAGTCTGTGGGATATATGAAAACTCTAATAGGCTCTAATAGAGTTCAGTAGCTTAAAAAGGAAATTGGTCTTGCTTTGTAAGATTTTTTCCACTGAGATTTTTCAGTGAAAACAATGAAGGAAGAGCAATCTTAAGCAATCACATCTTACAGCAATGTCCATATGCTATCATTTTGCATTGTAATGAAGCAGTTTCTAAGCTTGTTCAGAAATCTGCAAGGTCAAGCAGCCTCATCATTCAAGACAATGGTTTCAATTTCAAGCAACTGCAGGGTAAGAAGGGAATATTATTTCAAGAGTACATTACTCAGCAATGTCTTCCTCCCATCTCCCTTTAGACATTTTAAACTTTCAGTGAGGCAGGATTTGGAACTTTTATGTTAATTTCAGCAAATACTAGGACATTCTGAAAAACTAATGTGCTGTATCAGAGGTGGGATACATTATTTATCCCTACCCAAGTGAGAAGATGGAGCAAGCAGGGAGGTTTGTAAGTGATGGAGGAGTGATTCTGCAGGTTTAAATCCATCAGTCTGAAAGGAAAGATTTTGAGTGTCAGCTGTCACAATAAAAAATAGCAATCCCCTAATAACATTTTGAAATGGCCTATGCTGGCTTCCTCCCCAGTAACCTTTCTAATTTTGTCTTCTTCCAATGATAACCTGACAACTGCTGCTATCCCAGGCTGCTTCAGTTATTGATAACCTGGAACCTATTTTGTAATTTAAAAGCTTATCTTGGAATTTTTGAAAAGTTGTAATAAAAGTAGTCTACTCAACCATGTAACAAATAAGTAAGTCTCTGTGATACTTAGCACCATACTTCACTTTGAGGTTCTCTGCCTACTCTGTACTGTAGGGGGATCCTTCCTCTATGTATTGCCTAGGTTTTTGTGCACAGCATCCTGATAACTCCTTCCCAAGCTGTGGCATCACTCTGAAGCTCACACTGGGTTATTCAGTTTCCTTCTGCTTTGTATATTGAAATTCATGGACACCAATAGGGTTACTCTTGACTTACAGACGTGTAGGCAATGATAGGATCACGCACAGCATTCATGTGACCTTTTTCTTTGAAGAAGATTAGAATTTGAGGAAGGGAACATGGTCATTGCACTGCCAAGCCTTCTTTCTTGCTTCTCCAAAGTTCATGCAGACAGTATCTAGCCCTAGGAAATAGTGTATCTTCAAAGACAATGGTATAGGTTCTAAGAGCAGCTCTGTTCAGGGAAGTAACAGTGAAGGCACGGGGTAGTATGTCAGCCAGTCACCATCAATGGGTTCTACTTCTCTTTCAGAAACTCGCTCATTAAAGCTGAGTGACAAGAACAAACTCATTATAGCTCACTCTTGACCTACAAATGCTCTTGAATTTTCATCTTTTTGTGAACAAGTATTCTCCATTTTACAGTGAAAACATTGTTTGCTTCTGTTACATGAGTAAAATTCAATCTGGTGGCTTGAATTTTTGAGGTCTTTTTTCTTACTCTGATGCAACAGTAAAAATAGAGTCTGAATTTCATATATTGGTAAATTCAACTTCTTTGTAAAGAAGCATAATACTTCCAGTGCCATGATTTAGTTTTCCTTAAACCTGGTTTCTTTAGGGTTGTTTTTTTTGGCATCTGTATATTTTTTCTATACTCTTATTCTTTCCTTTTTTTTTCAATTGCACAAAGCTGAAACACTACACAAGACAAAGTCAAGGACACTGTCAGTTAATGGCTTTCACAAGGTCCCATGAACTAGGTTAATTTAACTTTTTTCCCTTTATTTCCTGATCTTTTTTTTTTTCTTTAAGTTTCTTCATTTGTCTCTGCCAAACTCTACTTTCTTGCTTTTCCCTTTTTCCCAGGCCCTTACCTGTGCTCTCCTCCAGGGAACCTTAGCTGTCCTCTTGCTGGCCCAGACAGTAAGACTCATATAATCCCACTCCCACTGTAAGCAGCAGGTCTCCAACACTTTGATAAAATGGGGCTTCTCAGCTGAGAAGGACAGACGGCTGTGATCTCCTTCCCAGCCCCTAACCAGCATAGCAGGGAACAATACCTCCTCCTACCATACGGTCTGTAAAACGTTCCTGCTTCATTTGCAGACAGAAATTGCTTTGCCTCCTGCTGGATATTACATCTTCCTCGGGGATTTTGTTCTACTTACGGCATTCTGTCTCTTAACCTTTAGCAGGTTGCCACAAAGGAGAAGAAAGACTGTTATATAAAACTTTGTAGAGTGGCACCTAGCGTGTATGAGAAAATGAATGAAGACTGAAAGGACACTGACTATCTCATTAAATGTTTTCTAGGGTGCCCTTCAGAGAAATGATCCTTCTGAGAAGCCCAATTGTCTCCCTTCCTCCTCCTACCCCCTCCCCTCCCTTCTGCCACCTTCTTAACAAGCATTTGATTAAGTATGTTCAGTCATAGTCGTTTTAACCTGTGACTTTCCTAAAAATAGCTTCCAATCTGAAGATAACACCTTTTCCTCCCACCTACACACACGCGCGCACACATGCACATGCACGCACGCACACGTACACATGCGCACACTTTTTACCTGTTTCCATGGAAACCCCACTGGAAAATGTTTACATGCCATTAGAGGTAACTTTTCCATGAAAATGTGAGGCAACTTGTGTGTGTCACAGGAGAATGCCACAAATGCTTTAATGTTTTCATTGGCTCTAGTCCCTTTACCTGAGCAGCAAGGCAGTAGAGCACGTTCTGCCCAGCGGAGAAGCAGCAGCAGGATGCGCTGCGTGTCAGGAGAGAGCCCCTGCTGGGGACAGATCTCCCCTGCCCTGGACTACTCACTCCATTTGCATCAAACCAGCCTGATGCCAGTCTGAGTACCGCTGGCTTTCTCTGTCTCAGGCTATGATTCTGGGTGGTATTAAACGTTTCGGTTTTGTAGAGGGTAGAGAAGATTAGAGCAGCCTTTGTTGTAAGGCGGTGATATATCCCAGCATC